AAGTGGAATAGCATTAAGCAGGGTTGCCTGTTGTGTTAAATCCACAAGGTGTCACACATAACAGAATTTATAATCCATGCATGTGACATCTGACCACCATGATTTGTTCTACCCATGAATTAAAAAGCTTTAAAGATATTCAGGTTCACTGCCTTAAGAGAAAAAAAACGTGAAAAATGAGGGGTACAGTGTTCATGATGATTTTGACACTGATTTGGTAAACAGATCTGCTAGCACAGTCCCATTTACTAAAGCATACATCTGTTTTGAGGAGTGAGGCTTTACGGCTTATCTTTAGTGAAAAGAAAGAATAATTGTGCAATGTGCTGCAGTATGAAATGGTAGGAATGTCATTTCAAGACTTCAGATAAAGTTTTAGAATTAAATGCTAGTGTGAACATTTCTTTTTACAGTTTATCTGCATTTAGTTCATGGTTTCTGGACTAAAATTTAAATACATTTACAAATAGGTGAAATAAAGGTTCCATTACAGTGAGGGAGTTAAAAGCTTGTGCTCAGTAGCTGTGAACAAGAATGTACACGCAAGAGAGAATAAATAAAAACGAAATGAATTAATTCTAATCCTAGGACTCTCCCAAATCAAACCAATTAGGTTATTAACTGGTGAACATTTTATTGAAGCCATGGCAACATCCCAGAGCCCAAATGACAGGCACCTAATTTTGTCATAGCGGTTTTAGTCATCTGAGCAAGTGAGCGTTTACTAGAAATAGATCATAATTCATAATATATTAAAAAGTTTTAAGTAGCACAAGAAAAAGTGGAGAGCCAAGTTACAGTCAGATTTGGACAACTGTAAGAGTTAGGAAACAGTGAATACTGCTGCTTCCACCCATCTTTTAAAAGAAAGCAGGAGTCTCCAGGTTTTGGTTTGTTGGGTTTTTTTTTTTTTCCTGAAACCCAATCCTGTATGCAAGTATTACACATACCCTGAGAATGCCTATCAAATCAAGCCCACAGGTAGACTTAGAAAGACTTACATCTAGTGTATGTATCCCAACAAGTTTAGGCACAAAATTGTCTTTGGGCATGAAAAGCAGCAGAACTTATTAAGGTGCCTGGGAACCTTCAGATAGAAGTGCACTATGGAGTTTAAGCACCCGACCATGGTTAGGCAGCACCTGAGCAGCTTTCACTTTTAGACTTAAGCGTCTGAATCCCACTTTAGGCACCCAAATCATTTTTAGACCTGGCCCAAGACATTATGGGTGGCCAATGCAACAAGCTTCAGCTCTTATTACCTACCACCAGTTTATTAAATTGAGGGGTCAATGACCATAGCAACTGGTTACAACGATGCAAAAAACAAGAGGGGCAATAGGGAAAAAAACTGTTTTGTGGTCTCCTTACACCACTGTTTTTCCACACCTGTATAGTATGCCTATTACCAGCGTATGGGAAAACCTGTAGTGGTTTATAGTGCCTTTTCTTGCATTAGGAAGTCTTCAGAGTAAAATATCTCAGAAAACATAGGACTGCACCAAAAAATATTTAGGGAAAAATACAAGAAATAAGTATTTTTAAAAGGTCATTACTGAAGGGGATTCTGATATACAGCAGTTATTAATTGTTAGGAAATACAGTAGTAACTGTAGCATTACAGTTTATATAGCTTATACAGGCAACCCGCGCTTAGCGCTCCGAATTGGTTCCTTAAAAAAAAATGAGCGTTAAGCAAAACCGAAAGTATTTGATGACCCAAGATGGCGACTGCAATTGTTTTTAATGAATCAAGATGGCGACTGCGAGTGATATAACAAAACTCCCTGCGCACTAAGTGAAATCAGGTATCAATTTCAAGTAAGCGTTATAGAGAAATAGCGCTAAGTGGAATAGCATTAAGCAGGGTTGCCTGTTGTGTTAAATCCACAAGGTGTCACACATAACAGAATTTATAATCCATGCATGTGACATCTGACCACCATGATTTGTTCTACCCATGAATTAAAAAGCTTTAAAGATATTCAGGTTCACTGCCTTAAGAGAAAAAAAACGTGAAAAATGAGGGGTACAGTGTTCATGATGATTTTGACACTGATTTGGTAAACAGATCTGCTAGCACAGTCCCATTTACTAAAGCATACATCTGTTTTGAGGAGTGAGGCTTTACGGCTTATCTTTAGTGAAAAGAAAGAATAATTGTGCAATGTGCTGCAGTATGAAATGGTAGGAATGTCATTTCAAGACTTCAGATAAAGTTTTAGAATTAAATGCTAGTGTGAACATTTCTTTTTACAGTTTATCTGCATTTAGTTCATGGTTTCTGGACTAAAATTTAAATACATTTACAAATAGGTGAAATAAAGGTTCCATTACAGTGAGGGAGTTAAAAGCTTGTGCTCAGTAGCTGTGAACAAGAATGTACACGCAAGAGAGAATAAATAAAAACGAAATGAATTAATTCTAATCCTAGGACTCTCCCAAATCAAACCAATTAGGTTATTAACTGGTGAACATTTTATTGAAGCCATGGCAACATCCCAGAGCCCAAATGACAGGCACCTAATTTTGTCATAGCGGTTTTAGTCATCTGAGCAAGTGAGCGTTTACTAGAAATAGATCATAATTCATAATATATTAAAAAGTTTTAAGTAGCACAAGAAAAAGTGGAGAGCCAAGTTACAGTCAGATTTGGACAACTGTAAGAGTTAGGAAACATGGCTTTCTCGCCTCTTCCCATCTTCTACAGAGGCTATAGGAGCCTATTTACTAAACATCCAATCAGCATAGGCCTTCATGACACCCTTTTACCCAAGAACAAATACCTGATTTTATCAGATTATGTAAAACTAAGGGTTGATTTCCTGGAGAATTTATCATCAGAATGATACCGCTATAAAAACCCTGTGTATCTATACAGATCATCTGGAATACAAGTATCCACACTAGGCATTACATCAGTATGGTTCTCCCAGTAAATTTCCTTCTGTAGACAAGCCCTAACATAATTTATTATTTTAGACTAGACTACTCTGGATTACATACCTTTAGAACGCCACCTTTTTTAAATTTTTTAAATATGAGGTTGGCATAATGTGAAGTTTATAATTGTCACACCTCTCTATCCGACCCCAAAATATTGTCACTCTATCACGATAAAATTATTTTAAAACTTCAAAACACGCCATTTCTAGTTTTAAAAAAATAAAATTAAATCAACCAATCAGGGAAAGAAAAATACAAAATACATCAAGTCGGATTTTCTGTCAATCCAGTACTGTTAATCCAAAATACCTTAATCCACTAAAGTTACACGTGCCACCTACCAGGCTCAAAAGGATTAGCACGGCCTGTTTACTGAGTGTAATCTGAATTTTCCCTTGTACACAGAATGTCCCACATCACTCTCTCACACAAGCAGAGGGGGAAAAGAATTCAAGCATCTCACAGTGGGGACACAAAACTCAAAAGCCAGAATGATTTAGGCCCCAATCCTGCAAAATGCTCTAGGGAAACAGACTCCTATGCCCACACAGAGCACAGCTGAACTCACTGGGGCTCTGCGCACCTCAAGGAATCGGCTTGTGCGGAGTTGCCTTTAGAAAGGTTTGTACATGGATACAACTGCCAGCAGCTCCAAGGTGCACCCAGGGTATCTTTCACTGGATGCAAGGGAAACCATGAGACTGTGGGCAGGCTACCATCCCCTCCTAAACCCGGCACGTCTGAAAACATCGCCATTTCTTTACAGCAAATAAGGAGGTTTTTAACCAGACTTCATAGAGAAGTCAGGCTGGAAGGGACCTTCAGACGTTGGGCATGTCTACATGTGCGCTTTAACCTGTATTTGCCTATTTTAATGTGCATTAAAGCGTCACAAAAAAACCATGCTCTTTAGCTAACGTGCATTAAAACAGGCTAACACATTTTTCTAGTACCTCACAGTGGAGATACTAGATTTAATGTGCATTAACTAAAGTGCATTAATTGAATGTGTAGACATGCCTAGAGCAAACCCTGCCTGAGGCAGGATCATCTCCATTCAAACCATCCTATACAAGCCACTAGGGTTGGCAAGCCGGTCAACCACTGTCAACTGACTGGTCAATTGACTGCATATTTTTTGACAGGTCAAAGTTTATAACAGTTTTATGGGGAGCAAATATATATCAGCTTTCTTGACAGATACTTTTTTTTTTTTTTTTTTTTAATTGTTTCTTGACACATCTTAATGGAAATTTTTTTGCTTTTTCTCTTTATTATCTATAGTGGCTATTTTTTAAAAAAAAATTTGACTGTTATTTGACCCATCAAATACCCCACCCTACAATCCATCATCTAAAAGGGAGGTTGGAAACATTTTTGGGCAGAGTGCCAAAAACGCCTGCAACCTCGATTTGCAAGATGTTGGCGTGCCAGGAGCGGATAGCAAGGGAGGCGCTAGGGGCCTGATCCTTGTGGCAGCACAGCCCAGGCTCCTTCCTTCCCCACTGTCTGTCCCGAAGCACACATGCCAAGTAAAATGCCTTCTTGTGCCACGCTCTGGGGGCTGCCTACCCCTGATATAAAAACTCTTCCTAAAACTGGAGTCAACTCGGACCTAACACAAGATATAACACCCTACCCTGCCACAGGTAAAGCAGGACCCAGACCAAGGCAGCCTGTATCCTGCTTGTATAAAAAGGCTGTTCTCAGCTGCGGGCTGCTTCTCCACGGAGTTCTGCAAAGTAGCAGCTGGGGGGTTTCTTGGCGAGGGGGGGTTCAAAGGGACACGGACAAGGATGCTACAACAGGGAGGGGCATTTTTGGATCATACAGGGAGACCTGAAGGGGAGAGGCTGAGCCGATGCGACCAGCACTGAGGTCTGCAGAGAAGACACAGCAGAGCGCGGAGGCGCCGAAGTTCGCTGGCTGGGCGGGAGGAGGGAGCTCCCGGGATCGGGCCCAGGGCAGCGCCCAGCGAAGGCGCAGCGGGAGGCGGCGACCCCGGCCAAGGGCAGGGCAGGGGCACGGCCGCGATCCCCCTCCCCGCCCCTCACCTGTGAGGCGCAGGCGGGTCTCGGGGCCGGTGGGGGGCAGCTCGCCCTCCTTCCGCTCCGCCGCCGCACTCCGAGTTTTCTTCACGACCGGCGGCGCCGGGGCCGAGTATCTCCGGCTCCCGGCCCAGCTCTTCCGCTTCATGGCGGAGGCGGCACCGCTACGGTGGGTGCGAGGCTGCCGGACTCATCCCCGCAGCGGGGCCCGGCTGGGCCGGCGGGGGGTCCCAGCCCGGGGCGGCGGAGGCTGTGCTCCCGCCCCGTCCAGTCCCCCCCGGCCGCTCGGCCAGCTCCGGCGTTTGGGACACCCACTGCCCCCTCCGCTGCCTCTGATTGGGCCGGGACGGTGTGACGTCACAAACAGGGCGCAGTGGGTAAAGTGATGTCATAGTGGGGAACAGAACAGGTGTGTTGGGCGGAGGGGGCCCTTGGAAACGCCGTTCTTCCCCGTGGCCCCTAGCGGAGGGGCTCTGCCCAGCGAAGGGGTGCCACAAGTGGCAGGGGCAGCCCAGGAGGCAGGAGCAAAAGGGGAGCGGGGTGGCTCCCCGCTGGGGCCTCTCTCTGACATGGTTGGCCCCCGCCCCCTAGCACGTAAGCCCACACAACGACCCTGTAGGCATAGGATCCGTGCCCCTTCCTGTATCTCCTTGCGTGGCCCCTAACCCAAGGAACCTATCGAGCACTTATCTGCCCCCATATACACCCACCCCTTGTTATTGTGTGCTGTTGCCGAGCTAGTACTGCCTACAGGCTCCGAGTCCTATTCAAAGCCTGCTAGTACACACTGTTTCCCTTCACTATCATAAACGTAACTCGCACATTTAGGCAGGCAAGGTTTTTTGAGTAGATGTGATGTCTTTTATTAGACCAACTGAGTTTACTTTGAGTAGATGTGATGTCTTTTATTAGCCCAGCTGAGTTTACTTGGTTGGTCTAATAAAAGACATCACATCTATTCAAAGAACCTTGCCTGCCTATGTCCTTAGATTGACACGGCTACAACCAAAAACCCTGCTCAGCATCTATTCCCACTCTCCCAGTGCCAGTACAACCCTGCAAACACCTGATATATTCTATTTCCTTACATAAATATAACTTGACATACATTTCACAGATGCCCAATATACATATCAATATAGTATCTCTGTGTTCTTCCACACATGTTCCCATTCATTTCCAAATGCGTTACAGACCTAAGAGACTCAAGACACCTCAGAGACTCAAGACACCTAGGTCTGTTACAGACCTGACAGACACAAGACACACAAGTTTGAAAGGACAAGGGCCAACTTGTTAGGTGTTTCTTCCCTGGCCCAACAGTGGTCTGCTTTGTGACTCTCACTCTCCAATGAGACCACATTACAAACAAACACAAATAATAGTAATCAGTTAATAAAGTAGACCTATCTACTTGCTCACTCTCACAAAAAATGCATTTATCCTCTCTTCTTAAAGTATCCAAATGTATAGCAAAGGGTTACAAATAAAATCACAGACTACACATCTGTGTGTGTACAAATAAAATCACAGACTACACATCACTGCAATATAACCACTACTGGGGTGTACAGTGCAAGACAACTGGAACGTAATCTATCCAGCGACAACGTAGGTCTCATGGAAAGGTCTGAAATACCTATTCCTATGTAAAGTTTTCTTCATTGGAGCAGAATATTTTAGATGCATTTTTGTAGTAATGATTGTGTGCGTTTGCTGCTGTATGTTATAAGCAAGCAATTCAATTAAAAATAGTTTAAAGTTGTTATTTTTAGGCATTACACATTGAGGTGCTCATTTTAAACTGGTATTTAAATAAGTCCAAAGCAGAGTTAGGTAATTAAAAGTTAGCTTTTGAAAAACACAATTTTTTTTTCCCCTCAGAATCTCCAGAAATATCCATGGACCATGGCAGAAGTTAATAAACACTCTTATTGAGAGTGTTCTGCCATCTGCTGGGTATGAGATCAATGATTATCCCCTGCTGCTTTTTTCGATGTTGACTACAATCATTTTTAGATTAATATTTTTAAAAAATAAAAGTTAAAATAAATTGTATAAGAGACATATGATTATAATGACACCATGTGAAATGTTTCTCATTAGTGGTAACATGGACCCAGTCTAGCAGTTCATTATGCATGGGTAGATTGCTGTGCCGCACAGAGTTCCAAATAAGTCAGTGAGATTGCCTGTGGATGGTGTAGTTGACCTACATATAAAATGGCAGGATTGATACCTTCATTAAGGACTGTCCTTCTCTTATTGGGTCTCTTTCTCTCTCCCCCGTACCCCTTCCCTCCATTTCTTCTTTTTATTTGGTTGGTTTTGTTTCTATACTATATTAGAATTTCCATTGTTTCTGGAATGTTGCTGTATTACTTTAGAATTCTAGTTTTATTTTGGAATTTTTAAATGTGAAATATTAGAACTATTTTCCTTTCCACAGAGCTACATGCTATATGTAGCATGTACGCTCTGCATATCAGAGACCTGGCTTTGGTTTCTCCAGGCCGGGAAGGTGTGGAAGCATTTTGTATCACTCTGTAATAACATACTTGGCTGATGTAAAAGCAAGAATTATGTGTTTCAGAAGTAAGGTTGCTGCATTTCTTACCAAACACTATTGGGACTACCATTGCTTCTTCCACACAATCAGTACTTGGCACTGAACTGTACCCTGTTGCTGTTGACTTCCTTCTCCTGTTGGTGTGGAGATGGTTTTGTATTGTTGGTATCTTTTTTCGAATCTGGCAGCTCTTTTCTTCTTATATCAGTTCCAGTTTCTCAGTTTCCTTGATAATTTCTCCCTACTTCAAAACCCTTTCCTTCCATACCCTTCTAATATATTTTTTCTTTGTCCTTCCAAGTAAATGGAAGGCCAATCAAAAGACTTGTAAGCACAGGAGAGGCAAACTAGCTGTGGGGAGAGTCTGGGCAGCACTCATATCATTGGGAGAATTTGGATGGGACATCTAATGAGGAAATGTATAATCAGGGGAAATGGGATGGAAACTATGAGATCAAATACAGTACACCTTTTGAAAATCAGGGAGGTGACAACCTCATTCAAAGTGAGTTTTTATTCAGCTTCTTTCTCACCTTTGTGTTAAAGAATGCACAAATGACAGAATTTAGGCTATTAACCTGTCTGCCTCCACACATCATGTAGTTAGATTTGCAAACGCTGCAACTGACTGGAGGCACAAAATTAGAAGTTATAGCTAACCCCTAATGCATTTGTTACTGTAATGATTATTACATTGAACTTCAACTCTGCTTTTAAATCTATGGTTTCTTCCTCTGAGGGTCAAACAGACATTGCTAATCATAATTGATTTCTTAGAGAAATCCAGAAATTAAATTAATGATGCTGTACAGAAGTTAATAAAAAAGCGGTTTGTTCCTAGTCAATGAGATTTCTCAAGACATTAATAATGGGCTCTTAAGTCAGTCACCTCTAGATCATGGGAGGGTTCTGGACCATTTCAGTAGTGAACAACATTTATTTGATGGTAGCTTGTTCTTTTTATTGAAAGCAATGAGTTGTGATATTTCAATTCCTGGTAAACAGATGCCTGTGTAATAAGCCACTGCTGTAATGGGCACTGGCTTGTTGGTAGTAGGGAAGCCAAGGACTGAATGAACATGCAGAGCCTTGAGAAGCAGAACTTATTGGTCAGCATGCAGTTTTGCACTACCGCTGCTATTTTGCTTCAGTTCTGGAGCTAGCACACGCAGCAAGCATGGCATTACCTTACCATGTGGACATACTGAGAGACTGACTGATGCTAGAGCAGTGGCTGCAGATCCAGTGTCTTCACCAGTGTATTTCCAGATCTGGAGTGTGCATGTGGTGCAGCTATGCTTGGGAATTGCTCAGACAGAACATGCCACTCCCTTACAGTGTTTGAAAACTTAAACATGCAGCTTTAAGAATCCAAAAATGAAATGAGACTAAAACAAAAGTGAAACTAATCTCTGTTTCATTGTAATGGTGATAACACCAAAAGTAAACAGAAAGCAGAAAAAGTGACAAGTAAATTAGATCCTGAATATGGTTTCCCCAAATACTAAAATATTAATTGTAACACAGACAAGAATAATTTTAATGTATGAAATTGAGAGTACTGGAATTTTTGTCACCAACGAAAAGCTCTAAATGGAAAGCTGAAAGGCAAAAATCTCAAGCTTCTCCTGAACATAGCAAGCCTTTAGAGTATTATTTTCGTATTGGTTAGTACCTTTGGTTTTGAACAAAGATTTTAAATTGCACTAGGAAGAATTTTTGTGAAGCAGTAATAAGCAAGTTTTTTGTGGTAGGACAAGTAAGTCTTAATTATTGCTTTCTTGGATATGACAGCAGAGTGGATTCCTCTTCATCTTCACTACAAGGTAATTTACTTGATGCTCTGAAATCCTGTGGTATCAGACGGTCTATAAGGACATAGCACAACTGACATCCAGGGCAGTTCTCTGGAGCGTTATTTGTCTTCTTTAATCAAGTTTCTTTTGTAATCTGTTTTCTCTATTGAGTCATACATCAATAACCTGAGGCTTGTTTGTGAAATTTACTGTTTTAACTCCTGCGAGCTGCAGAACTGTGTTAATGGGAGCATGATCCAACCTATTTTTGTCAAGGTGCAAAAAATTGACTTCGCTACCTGGAACAGAATGAGAATAAAGATAGCATTAGCTGAATAAAGTATTGCTTTCTTTTAAAGGCTAATGGGGTTGAGGAGGCAGTCTGATTGCCTACTGATTTTTCTAAATCTGTCCATTATGTGGATTCCACAACACATGATTTTTAAAACTACAGCAGCATAATGAGGGATCTGATTGCATTAGGACCGCACCTTGCTGTTTCTGAATATCTCATAGGAATGACTTTGTCAAGCTACGGTCTCCTTTCATGCTTCAATGCTTGATTATAGAATACATCAAATCAAATGCCTAGAATAAAATGGAATAGACAGATACCTAGATGTCAGAAGACAAAAATGTTAATCCTTCTCTACTGACGTCAAAAACTATATTCCTATCAACTTCCTGAGGAACAAGATAGGTCACTATCTTGTCACTATCACTATTATAAGAGGTAGAAATACATAATGGGCACGTCTACATGTGAATTAAGGTGCTTTTTCTAATGCGCATTAAATTTAGTACCTCCGAAGTACCCACTAAATAAATGGGCATTAGGCTACCTTAAGGCACAGTAGTGAATGTGCATGGACTTTAAGTGACGCTTAATATGCAGTAGCCTATTTTACTGCTCATTAGCATTATTGCATGGTGTTTTACGTGACGCTTTAATGCACAGTAAAATAGGCTATTGCTCATTAAAGTGCACGTGTAGATGCATCCAATGACACTTGCACGGTGTTCATTTACACAAAGGGAATTGGTGAGTTTTTATTCACCAAGGCGCCCCTGGGGGTTACAAGAAATAATGGCCACAAGCTAGCAGAGAGCAGATTTAGATTGGACATTAGGAAGAACTTCTTCACAGTTCGAGTGGCCAAGGTCTGGAACGGGCTCCCAAGGGAGGTGGTGCTCTCCCCTACCCTGGGGGTCTTCAAGAGGAGGTTAGATAAGCATCTAGCTGGGGTCATCTAAACCCAGCCCTCTTTCCTGCCTATGCAGGGGGTCAGACTCGATGATCTATTGAGGTCCCTTCCGACCCTAACATCTATGAATCTATGAACAGAGCCACTCTATATGCACAAGATTATTGTTTTTTTCTTGGGAATTCTCTAGGGTGTAAAAGATCTCCTGGAAGTATACAAGAAATCAGCTGAAGAAGATGAGAAATTTTAATATAAAACAAGTAAGTTTACCTGGGCCTAAAATCAAAGTCCCACCCTGCTGAGCCGGATCTCCTTGAAAATCAAAAGCGGGGCTAGTCATTGCCCTCCATATACTCCTAATACTTCCTGACAGCAAGTTGGATTTCACATGAGGGCTTTGTGCTAAAACATAAGAGAACAGCTTATGTTTTACCTAAACAGTTTTAAAAATAGATAATTTAATCAGTCACAAAGTAAAACAAACAAACAGATGACAGCAGAGCATTATTATTTAGAGTTACACAAGGTTTTACAGCTGTAAAAACACATTAGAAGGCAAAACAACAAGCTGAAGTCATTGTCATTAATGGTTTACAGTTTCCCTGACACTGTACAAGGGGATCTTGCCATTCTCAGGGAGTAGGCTACAATCTAAAATAGAGCTTTTCATGGACAACTCCCCCTACCCCATTCACAATCCCCCCATATAACAACACATAACACCAAGGAATTCCTGCAGCCATTATTTGCAGGCAAAAAAGCAGCATCAGGATAATATTTGTGAATATTTACCTTCTCTGAGATTAAACTGCTGAAAATCAGGAGATGCCAGTCCTATGTGACTAGCCTGAAATCACATCCCACCTCCCCAAAATCAAAGTTTGAGAAGAAAAGGAATAAGGAATTCAAGGATTTGGAATAAAGTTGTAGTAAATCCCCCAAATGATAGACATTTAAAATTAGATACAATGTAGCAATATTCCAATTAACTTTTTAGTACTGGTTCACTGAGGTTTGTAATGCCCATATAATCAGTGGGCAAAGGCAGTGGTTCTCAACCTTTTTAGACTCCAAGCTCCCCTTTGAGAATGCCAGCTTTAAGTTTTCATTTGGGTTTTTTTCCCACTACAGAAAAATAATAGATCAATTCTTCTGTTGCAAAGAACTCAGAAAGACCAGACTAGGTCAGAATGGTTTTTACACTGTGGATTCCTATTTGAAATTTCTAAGTTTATCTTATGAATTGTGTTTGCACACCTAACAGTGCAAACAGTGCAACAATGCACTGTGTAACACTACAGCACCTTGGCTGAGAATCACTGATCTAGTGTATCTTCATGCTCCACTGAAATCAAGAGCTGTTTCACTGTTAACTTCAGTAAGAGCAGGATCAAGCTCCTTGTGAGTCATGAATCTCTTCCACCAACGGGGTTAAAGATGCTTTAAAATGATGTAGTAAAACAGTCTGTACTGTCTGTACTACTGGACACTGTGAAGATATTCCTTAATTGATTACTGTTGTATCGGACATGATGATGTCTGCTTGTGAAAGAAATCAAAGCAAGAATACCATTCCTACCTGATGTGGTGGCTGCTTCCCCTCTTTTCATGCCAAGTATTTTATAAAGTGCCAGGTCTGGATCTACATACATTTCATGAGGATACCTTGTCAAATTGCAAAATGGCTGCAAAATACATATATGTATGCATAAACTATTATATTCAATTTGAAGTTTTGTAAAAATGGTGTGGTAAAACCCAGTACTGATTCTGGAACTTCTGAATTCACAAATCTAACCAACAGAAGTACCAAATTCTAAATTTTTTACTCAAACAAAACATGCATTGAAAGCAAGGCCTTCTTTCTCAAGCAAAATGTCTGCAGGGTTGGAAGCTAAGATTTATCCTATACTGTGTTTATTATTGCTTCCTGAAAAGTAGTAAAGATCTGCTTTTTCAAATGTGATGAGCATCCATATCTCCAGTTGAAATAAATTAATATTACTGACTTTGAAAGCCAGGCCTCAATAGACTATGAACTTGTTACAGGCCTCGTACAATATATTATCTTCACAATTTTTTTTACCTTAATGTGATGGTAAGATGATTGTCCAATAACTATAAGCCTCACATTTGCATCCTAGGAAACAAGTACAGAATATACATATCAAAGCTATTAACAGGGATTGAATATTTATACTTATTTGCAATACATGAACAGAAATATGTACATTCCAGTTCAACAAGCTGGGTATGCAAGACTCCAGGCTATTAGTTCTAAAGATACTTAGGCACCAAGAATGTCTGTTTCCCCATATGAAGATATGATATTAATTTATTAATGGTTACATTTCTACTAATTTTTAAAATGGTAACTCTAGGTCACTTTTTTTATAAGCTTTGATTATAAACTTTATTTCCTGTAGCATCTGCAGGGTTGAGGTTTCAGCTGCTATCAAAGTTACTTAAAAATTTGCAAGTGCAAAAATTTGCACACAGGTGTCTGCACCCAAACAATTTGATATGCAAATATAGGTGCACATAAGTATTTGCCCGATTTAGATGCCCATGTATACATATACAAAGTGCACATAGTGATGTGTGTATGCATAAACAAAACATACAAAGCAATATGCACATTTTTGCAGGTGCAAAGTAAGGGTTGTCGCTGAAATTGTGGCCAAGCATCATAATTAATTTAGACTCTGCACTCAGTAATGTATTGAAATAGATTTTTTTTCTGCAATTCAGGCTTATCTAAATACTATAGCACAATACTCCCACATCCACAATTTTAATAACTTAGCTGGCTGACAAAAGCCATTCCAAAGATGAATTGATGGTACCAGAAAATAAGGAGGAAAGTAATTTTCTCTTATATTTTTTATCAGAGTAGACAGATTAAAAAAAAATCATATTGGGGATGACTAATTCATTGCATTAGCAAAACCCACTATCTGCTAGAGAAAATGCTCCCCGCTTCTGTTTAATAGCACTTCTATTCCTGTGCCTTCAAGAGCTGGCTGGTAATGAGAGCTTTGGCCTCTCTCACCAGCAATATGCTGCACCTAGGAGGAAAATATGGCAACATTTCAAAGAGGAGGATAGAAGGAAGAAGGACAGTCCCTGCCTTGAAACAGGAGATGGTTCCTATTTGTTTAGAAGAAAGCAAAATACACAATGTGACTATCAAGTGTAACACTGTATTGGATTTCCTTCCTAAGGCAGGCAGAAGGAGGAACCGAACCAAACTGGGAAGGAACAAACTCAGTTCTGGGCTTCTAGTGATGGCTCCTGGGTTGACCTCAGGGATGTTCTCAAACCTCACGCAAGGCATTAAGACCCTAATGTTCATGTCCCCTCAAATGCATTCAAACCCATGTTAAAGGCCTTTCACTTACTTGTAAAAAATCCTTGGGGATTTTTGCCAGATCTTCTACATACTCTTTACAGGCGTAGCATAAAAAATGCTGAAAAGGCAAACCAGTTGGAGACATCACAAGTCAACACAGTGAAGCAACACAGATCTGCCTTCAGACAGCCAAAGTAAAAAACTTTTGAACTGGAAGATCCTGCGAGTATTAGAGGCCCATTGCCAAGTTCAACTCGGGATCCCAAAGCTGAAGGGGGCTGGAGCCCTGTTCAGACATGCTAATGGAAGAAACAAAGAGGGCAGGGTGTCCGATCCGGTTTAAACCCTGAAATCCCCGCCGATTCCCTTCGCATTTGAAATGCAGGCTTTTTTTTTTTTTTTTGCCTCGAAGGAGGCTGCAATGCTGCTTCAGGAGAGCACAGGGGAGGCTTGGGTCCTGCTGCGGTCTCCTCTCCCCTGCCCCCCCCCGTCTCGGGCCGCGCTCACCCGCACGAACACCACGATGGCCCGCCCTCCGACCTGCTGCCGGACCGGGGCGGCCATGGCACCCGGCGGAGGGAGGGAGGGAGGGAGGACACCGCTTGCAAAGGACCGGCCCCCTCCGGGACCAGCTCCAGCGGCTGAAGCAGCCGCCCGCTCGGGCGACTCACTCAGGGCAGTAGCAACTCGCCCGCTGTGGAAAGTGGCATTCATGGGCCCTGCCCTGAAACGGGGGATGGTTCCTGTTTGTCTAGAGAAGAAAGCAAAAGCACAACGCAACTATCACGTATAACACTATGGATGGGTGGAGGTTGCAGCCGGGGTTGTCTACGGACATAGGCACACGAGGTGTTGGGGTAAATCCGCCTCTTGTGGGCTCAGATCGATTGTAGTCCTGTGCTTGCCTGGCAAGGGAAACACCGTGACTACTGATGCAGTCTTCCTAGTCGCACCCGGGGAAGACCGCTCTCCTGGTATGAGGTTTGTACCTGCCAGGGTGATGTACAAACCTCCCACTCAGCCGCTGGAGTGGGAAGGTCTTGGCTTTAAGCCCACTTTATGGAAAGGGGAGACTCCTCCCTAGCCTGCTCCTGCGGCCATATGGCTGAGGGCAAGCAAAACTCGGGGGCATCCGAACCCCAAACCTCCGGGCTTGGGCCTGCAAGTAGGATGCCAGGTTCTGGAAACATCTGAAGCCCCAGGTGGGGGTGGAGGATGTTTGCCGGTAGCAGGGCCACTTATGGTTCTGGACTGATTCACAAATTTGGAATTTGTTTTGGCTAATTTGGCGTGGACTACAGAAAATTTATATTCAAACTGACATTAAAGGTCTTTCACTTGTAAAAATCCTTGGAATTTTTTTTGCCAGATCTTCTACATACTTTTTACAGGTGTAGTATAAAAATGCTGAAAAGGCAAACCAGTTGGAGATATCACAAGCCAACATAGCTGCGCAGCAGTGAAGCAGCAAGGTTTGCCTTCAGACAACCGTAGACACCAAGGTAAAAACTTGAAAACATTTGAACTGGGAGATACTGTGAGTATTAGAGGCCCATTGCCAAGTTCAGCTCGGGATCTTAAAGTTAAGGGCGGGGGTTGGAGCCCTATTCAGACTTGTTAACAGGAGAAGCAGAGAGGATATGATTCAGCTGAGGAATCAGGAGGGGAGTCATTGGGTGTCAGATCCAGTTTAAACGCTTAAATCCCATCCTGGATCAGGCCCCAAGTCCTTTCGTATCTGAGATGCAGACTCTTTTCCCAAGTTCTTTGGGTAAATCCCAGATCTTTTATTAGACCAACTTTTTGAGTTGGTCTAATAAAAGATATCGGATTTACCCAAAGAACCTTGTCTACACTATATTGGATTTCCTTCCTAAGGCGGGCAGGACAAGGAACTGAATCAAACTAGGAAGGAACAAACTCAGTTCTGGGTTTCTAGTGGTGGTCTGCTCGACTGTCTGGGGGCAGGTGCCCTGAAACCCCTCAGTGGCTGAAAAGGGAGTTAGTTTCTCTCTCCAAAGAGAGTTTGGAAAGTGCCTTCAGCCTTCTCCTGGAAAACTACCCTTGGATTCTCCTCTGCACTCCCTGCCCCAGGGCTGCGAAGCCCTGCCTGGCTGGGATGATCTAGCTGGGGATGGTCCTGTTTTGAGTAGGGGGTTGGACTAGGTGTGACCTCCTGAGGTCCTGCCCAATCTTAATTTCTATGAGTCTATCCTGGGACACTACTGTGGCTCTTAAAAAAGAGGCAGGAGAAAACCTTCAGGCTGAAGTTTTCAAGTAAATGATAACCCCCCAATTCATTTTCACTGTTGCAGTCTAAGTCCATGACCTTCAGCAGGCCTGGACTTCTGGTGGTAATCCCAGCAAGTACAGAAGGGGGAGGCATAGGTAGGGTGTCCTGGTTTAGCTGGGACAGTCCCGGATTTCGGAGGCTGGTCCCATGCAGCTAGTGATAATTAAAATGAGAGTCCTGGAAACACAGGTATGGGGCACAGCAGGGCCAGAAGGAAGAGCAGGACAATGCATCAGGTAGGCAGGCACCACTCCCCGGCACACCATGGTCAGCCATAGGTACCTTCCTATGTAATCATAGGGTAAGGGCCTTCTTGCATGTTAATTTTGGGTTGCTTCTGGAGCACGTAACCCATGGATTGTCCACACATTAACACCTGAAACTGGTTTTGAGTACTCAAAGTAGCTCAGAGTGTTGCCACTCTAGGGCAGGATGATCTCTGATCCTTGATGCTCAGCTCTTGTTACACTAAGGTGCAGCCATGCTAGGTTACATCTTCAGTATTGCCAATCCCACCATGCCAAAAATCATGAGACAAACTCTTAACAAAACAAGAAATTAGCACTTAAATCATGGGATACTATTTTTGAAGTGTGTGTGTGTGTGTGGTGGGGGGGGCATTATTTGTGACAGTGTGGGGGGGTTGGAGCCCAGGGAGGGAGGGTCTTCACACACCCTGGCAGGATGCGGGGTATGATGCTGTGGGTTAGGAGTGAGAAGCAGCAGCAGGGCTGGGTGGGCTGTGGCTTGGGAGTGAGGAGCAGACAGACAGAGACACAGAAAGCACCTAGCTAGTAAGTGGAGGGGAAGGGGTAGGGGAGAGGGAAGGGAGTGGGATTGAGGACCTCGTGGTGAGGGAGGGAGTGGGGCAGGGGCTGAGGTGAATGGGACCCTGGGGCCAAGTCAGGTCATCCAGAGGTGTGGGGGTAAAAGACCATGGCTCCCCTCAGCTGTGCACACCCCTAGGGGAGGCATGGCGGGCATGTACCCCCCACCAGTACTTCCTGCCTCTGGGTGGGCAGGAGACTTGCTGTGTGGCCAGCGCGCCTGTGTCCCCTACCCGCCTGGCAGGTAGCAATGGCATTGCGCAGCTGAGCTCCTCGGGCAAAAGCAGCAGGGTTCAGAGCCCTGAGCCTATAGCAGGCAACCCATCCCCCATGCCTCTCTCGGGGATGCACGCTGCTGCGGGGAGTCGCACCTCCACCCCCCGCCCTCCCCCACAGAGCTGGACAACCTGCCCCAGGGCCCCATTCATCCCAGCCCCTGCCCCACTCCCTCCCTCACCCCAGGGGCCTTGATCTCCCTCCCACCTTCCCTCTCCCCCCACCCCTTCCTCTCCACAGACTTATCAACTAGGAAAATCCAGAGATCTGAGGGTTCGATTGGGAGATAACAAGATGGAGTTACTTTGACTTAGAAATCCTCAGTTTTGTGATTGGTTTGCAACACTTGGCATTACTGCATCTTTGTGTAAACACTCCACATGCCCTCCCCTCCCTCACTGGCCTGGATGGTGCCTGCTGCCCTCCCTTTTACCCCAGATCCCTGCTTATTGCCCCCACCTTATTTGTGGCTGCCTGTGCTGTCTGTCCTGGGGAAGCAGGCAGGGAAGGGTTCAAGTGCTTGCCTAGCAGCCCAGAGAAGAGCAACAGCCCAGCAACTGTGGCAGGGACTGGGCTGGCAGGTTAACCTTTCCCTGCCTGGTGCCCTGGGACAGGCCACATGGGCAGCCACAAGTAAGTGAGAGGAGTGGCAGGAAACAGGGGAAAGCCCAGAATGGGAGTGGGGCGGGGATTCATACCTTTCAGTCCTCCATGCCCCTTCTGGCTTGAAGCGTGACTGGTGTTTGTGCGGCTCACAGCTGACAAGGCCCTAAGAGTGATGCTGTAACTGTGATGGTCCAGAAATTATGCAAGAGGCAAGAATTTCATTGGGCAAGATCTTTTATTGGACCAACTATGTAGCTGGGATAAAGTCAGACAAGCTTTCAAATTCAAGATAGCAAGGAGACCTGATTAAAAATGCCTTGCATTCTAAAGCTGGTCTAACTATCCCAGTTATATAGTTGGTCCAATAAAGGATCTCACCCTAAGTCTAAGTACAGACATTTGAGGAAGTTAAATTGGGTTCAAAATGGCCACCCAATTTAAACATAGCTTGTCCTGGGGCTGACCTTACATTTACAGACCCAGTCTCAATGACTGGCTATCAGTTTAAACCTATAACTGTATAGAAGTTCCATGTGCACAAACTGGTCTAAACATTGCAGAACCTGGTTTAAGATAAACCTGGATCTATTTAGTATCAAACTTATTCAGTTTAGGACACATCAGTGCATGGGACTTCTGTCCATTTTCCCTGTGCAGCCCTGGGGCTGGAAAACTCAGCCACTGGCCCCAGCCCTGGGGCTGCTCTTTTCACCCCCAGCCCGGCCCCTTGGCTCCCTCTTGCCCCTGACCAGACAGACCTCAACCCCCATTCCACAAGCCACTCTGGGTGCACCCCACCTGTGAGTCATGCCTGTCCTTCCACCCTTCATGGGTTGCACCTCCACCACCCGACCCTTGGGTCACATCTGCCTCCCCACCCCTTGCAGGTCATGCCTGACCACGCTCCCCACCTGCAGGTTGCGCCTGCCCTGCACTCCTTGCAGAGGACGCACCTGCCTGCCCTGCCCCACCTGTAGGTTGTACCTGACCCCCTACCCCTTGCAGGTGACTCTTGCCCCCCATCCCTCATGGGCAGGGCTGTCCCTGTGGGGGGGGGGGAAATCGGGGCAACTGCCCTGGCCCCCGCGCTTTGGGGGGGGGGTCCCGCGGAGCAGGACAGAGCAGCAGTGGTGCAGAGTTGGGCGGAACAGTGGCTTTGCGTCCAGTTGCTCGCTACCCCCTCACCGCTGATGCCACCGTTGCCCTGCACCCTGCTTGGGTCAGCTCTGCTCATGGGTCATGCCTGCCCCCTCATGCCACCCATGGGCCATGCCTGTCCTCCCATCCCACTTGCAGGTCACACCTGCCCCCCATCCCATGTCGGTCATGCCTCCCTCCACCCCTTGTGAGATGCAGCTGCCTTGCTTACCCCACCTGTGAGTTGCACGTGCCCCTCCACCCCTCATGGGTCATGCCTCCCCACTACCACACCCGCAAGTTGTATCTGCTCCTCCATCCCACACTGGACTCCTGATCCCCTCCAGGTTGCTGGACCCCCAACCCCCCTGCTAGCCCCCCATGCTGATTTACCTGCTATAAGGCAGCCTTTTTTAATTGATTTA